TAACAGTATTTTATCACCCCGAACACTGCAAACATTAGAATTGGTGTGACATTGGTAAAAGACTAGCACCGAGCTATCCATCTCTATAGGGACTTTAACAAAGGATACTTTGCTTGGATAAGGTGAAGTATCTTGTCTTTTTTTCTAAGAGTTACTTTAGTTTATGGTTAATAGTTAGAATGAGAAGTCAACTGTTTTCTAGTTTTGTATAGAGTAGGGAATATTTAAAGGATATGTTACCCCAACATTTCATATTCCTGATATGTGCCTATTGTAGTACATACTTTTAATAAAAAGTATCCTGTTCTCTTTATATTGCTTCCTTTGTGTAAAATACCTGTTTATCCTACCAGTCCTCTTGCTTTCCCATTTCAAACTGACCACGCTAGGCAAAGGAGCACATCTTTCCCAACGCGGTCCGTTTTCTGGCTGTGCGGGGAGCCTATCCTCCAATGGATAAGACTTGTGCACCCCTACACAGCCCTTCACTGGGAAGATCAGTGTATTGCTCTTTATCTGCCTCTTGCTGACACATTCCCCCTGCAGGCTCCACCCCCAGCTCGCTACGCCCCTTATGCTTCTGAGAATAGAGGTTGTGGGTTTTTTTTTATATCTATACACAAATGTTTTCCCTTGCATTTTAAACTGATTGTGTTGTTCTACAAGGTAAGGGTTCACATATACTTTACAGTCAGGTGTGTCTTTAGGAAGATTTCCCCCTCACTTCCTGTAGAAGGGATACAGCTGAAAGTCAGAGGAAATCTCTTCAAAGTGAGGGAAATTACCTCTTTGACAGTTGTCACCACTGGAACATTTCCTCTCTCTTCTTGGTACAATGAGAACTGTCACATTTTGGATTTCCTGTATTAGTGATCAATGCTGAGCTCTAGTTAAATCATTGTTGGGGTTCAATAGATCAAACTGGAGTTTAGTAAACCCTAAATTTTGGAAGTGTCCCCTGTGCCAACATTTACCTTGCCTCCGTCGACTGCTGACCTTCCTGAACTTGGTGCCCTCACATAGGAAGTGGAATCTCTGCTGTCTGATCAGGTTCAGGAGCTCCGGCTGAAGCTGCTCTCTTAGTTCCCTAATAAAAGACAAAAATGGAGACTTTTGGAAAGCCTTTTGAAAGATCTCCGCAAGCTTCCAGCAAGGCTGTTTTAGTGTTTAAGGAAAAATTCAGTTCCAGTATTGGGATGGAGTGATTACTGTTACTCAGGGGCGGACTGACCATTTGGAAACTCGGGCACTGCCCGAGGGCCCGGGGTCAGTAGGGGGCCCCATGAGATGCCCCTGGTACCTTTTTTCATAGGCGTTTTTGAGTTTGGGCAAGGACACAAGGGCTCCATTATCCCCTATTGCCCGGGGGACCCATGAGTTGTCAGTCCGCCCCTGCTGTTACTATCAACCAGCATCTAGCAGGCTTCAAAAAGCTTCAAGTAGTACTAGACAGTTAGCACTCCATTAAAGCCCAACTCTGGGCTCAGCGACCCCCGTGTGTATTTCATTGTTCAAAGTCTTCTATCTGGTCATGTAGCACACTGGGGTCCTCTTTGATGTTCATTTAAAGATGGGTGGTCCTCAAAGATGCAAGGAGCAGAGCTGTCTACGGACATGTGCAGTTTGTTTTGTTCCGAACTGAAATTTGGATGAAATTTTTGTTTGAAGATTCGGATGTATCTGAATTTCCGAATTACAATAGTAATGAATTTAAACAAATACAAAATAAGGAAATGAAATTATGTCCAAAATAACATCTGAATTTGAATTCTAAACAAATGTGAATCTGAAAACAAATTTGAAATGTAGACATATTGCTGACTATTGCTGATTTCCTGCAAGGACTATGTGTATTAGCGTTAGAATATAGCTATCTTTTTTCGAATTTCGAAAAGAATAAAACAGAATAGAATAGAAAATAATAGAATAGAACAGAATAGAAAAGAATAAAGCCGTCTTCAAAAATTTGAATAGAATAGAATAAAATAGAATATGCTGTCTTTCGCAAATCACATTTCAATTAGAATACAATAAAATAGAAAATAATAGAATAGAATTGAATGTAAAAGAATAGCATAGATTAGAATAGAATAAAATAGAAAGAATATAGCTGTCTTCCAAAATGAAAATTTAGAACAGAATCAAATAAAATAAAACAGAATAGAATAGAAAATAATAGACTACACAATAAAATATTAGAATAGAATAGAAAATAAAGGATTACAATAGAAAAATAGAATGGAACAGAAAGAATATAGCCATGATCCAAAATTTGAACTTCGAATAGAATAGAATAAAATAGAAAGAATATTGCTGTCTTTTGAAATTCACATTTCGAATAGGATGAAAGAAAATTAATATATCGGTCTTCTGAAGTTTGACCTTCTAATAATATAGAATAAAATAGAAAGAATAAAGCTGTCTTCTGAAATTCATATTTTGAAAATAAAAGAATAGAAAATAAAGGAATAGAACTGAAAAAAAATAGAATAGATTAGAAAAGAATAAAATAAAATAGAATATAGCCATCTTCCGAAATTTGAATTTCGAATAGCATGGAATCAACTATTCTTCACAATGAATTCAGTATGTTCGATTCGAAGATTTTGAATCAGTCAAAAACGGTCAAAATGAATTTTTTCGTTCTGTACATGTCTAGCTGTCTATACCATTACATATTTAATGCAGGCCATTGTGGTGATGCCCTCTGAGGGGTGGGTCTATGACACCCTGCACTCACACTATGTTCTCAGTATTACAGATTGGCTGACACTGGGCTTTTTTAATCCAGAAAAAAACTGGAAATGACTGTAGGAAACAGTTCCAGATTTAAGGTGAGTTCTGGATCTGTTTAACCTTCCCAAACTGGAGCTGAATGGTGCTGATTGAAGCTTGCTGTTCACACTGGTCTTTTACAAGCTGAAGGCTTAAATAACCAACACTGATATCAGACACCTCCTTATCTATAACCTCTAGGCTTCATTTACTCAGAGTCATGCATGACCCCTATATGTATATTGTTGTTTGAGCACAGGCTTAAACTGAACCCGACCTGAAATTTGTGGTGCACCATGTGGTTATGGCATTCCTGTGTTGGTTTTCAAATACTGGATACCAGACCCTGGGAGTTCAGGAGGCAAGATTAAAAAAAAACCTTTCCTGAGAAAAATATGGGGCTGACATAGCTGATCTCCTGTTCCTGCTCTTTGTTTGGCTATTCAACTAAGCCACTGGATCTGGAACAAGTATGGAGGTTTGGAGGTTAGGAAAGGTAGAACTTCTCATCTGCATGTTTGTTCCAAGTCAGTGACTCACAGGACTGAAGTTAAAGAGTGTGTATAACAGCCAGGAATACGAAAAATTGTTGTCCCATACTTACCAAAATTTTCCTTTCCTGGCGTATCCTCACGTCAGCACACCATGGGTTAATCCTTCATAGGTAACCCCCCCCAGGCCCACCTCCAATAGCTAAAATAAAAGACTCTCCCTCCTGATCCTCGGTGGTCTTCTTTTTTGGTCACTCCAGGCCACCTGCCAAAGTTTCCAGATCAGATGGATGTTGGTGAGCAGTATCCCCCCTACTGCACCTCCTCCCAGGTTCTCTGCCTCTCCTGGTTTGGAAGACCCTGTGTTGGTGGTAAATCCCCCTAAAGCCAGGGATACCCTTGTGCCTGGTTTTGTTGCTTAAATAATACATACCAGTATTTTACTGGCCTCTGCAGTGCTTCCCATAGAGCCTGCCCTCAGAACAGGATAAGGAAGAGAGAGAGATAGAAGGGCTCGCTGCTAATGAGACACAGCATGGGGGGAAAACAAGGAGTGCAGCCACAGCGTCCATGAGAAGCACCTGCAGAGGCCAGTAAAATATGTATTATTTAAGCAACAAACCCAGGCACAAGGGTAACCCTGGCTTTAGGGGGATTTACCACCCACACACAGGGTCTTCCAAACCTGGAGAGGCAGAGAACCTGGGGGGAGGTGCAGTAGGGGGGATACTGCTCACCAACATCCATCTGATCTGGAAACTTTGGCAGGTGGCCTGGAGTAACCAAAAAAGAAGAACACCGAGGATCAGGAGGGAGGGTCTTTTATTCTAGCTATTGGAGGTGGTCCTGGGGGTTACCTACGGAGGATTAACCCATGGTGTGCTGACGTGAGGTGAGCCAAGAAAGTAGTATTTTCAGAATAATGAAAAAGCAACAGCGGAATGTGCTCCACTGTTTCTCTCAGGAATGGTTTACAAGTCTACCCATTCCTGCAGGTACTGAGTCCCACCAATTCAATCTTATAATGCCAGTGCTTCTACTCTTTTTGCATGTAACATTTGTATGACTGGGGAAGGCTTAGTGTTGGGAGGGAGCAGGGTTTCATGTCAACTTGGACAGGAGTAGAAGCCCCAGGTTCAGCTTGGGCCTAGAATCCAAGGGCTCCCATTAGAAATCAGCTAACAGAAGTGCATTGAAGAAACATGCTTGATGGAAACATGAACAGCTGAAATTGTAGACCCTGTTTCCTAAAAAATGTAACTAACAGTCTGAATTCTTCTGGAATCATTGACTTGGAACAATATGCAAATAATGAGCTCCAGGCCAGAAAGCACCAAAATCAGAAGATCAGGCATGCCTAACAGGCAATTAGCATTTTCAGAAGGAAATCACTAATGACAATCTTTGTGTTCCTCTTGACACAGGTTTTCTGTCAGTCACCACGAGGTGCCCACACTTTAGTCAGGCTCACTTTAAGATGGCTTTGCGGTGCATTTCTCACATCACAGGTGGGGAAAGTGCTTCATCTTGGATCAGCCTCTCCTCCTGACGTCTGCGAAGAATCTCGCTGTAATTCAGAGATGAAATCTTTGTCCTGAAAAAGTCCAACGATGTTGGTGAGAGAGCAAGAGTGCGATAAATCTGTTCCTTTACCACATGCATAACCTGGGCACATAAGAACAACAGGGTCGCAAAAATTAGAAGATCAAAATGATAATTAAAGGCACGAGAAGCTCATAATAAGGAGACAGAAACCTTCTCAAAGTCCTCCTGTGTGGCTCTCATCTCCTTCCATGTCTTATTCAGCACCTGAATGCAGACAGAGAAGAGTTCATGCATGAAGTGGTCTTGTGCGTAGAAGAGCGTCTGGAAGCTTTGACCTGTTTCCGAAACTGAAATATCACAAAAATTAGATTAAGTTTTACAGCTACCATTCTGAAAACTGATGACCTATAAAATGATACCAGCAACATGCCATACTCAACGTAACACAGAGTCTATGAATAAATAAAAAGAAAAATATGATTTCTGACTTACTGAAAAATCAGTTTCTTAAAATAAAATTTTGGACACAGAAAGAACATTCAGGAACACTGGGTTATGCTACGACCTATGGGAGATTGAATACAGACAAAACAAAAAAAAAAAGGGCAGCCCAGTAGAACCCCTCACATTCCCAGCATGAACCCATAACCCCATCCCACAACCCTAGTGTACTTCATGGCAAGGAGTTTACTGTAAATCAAAAAATCCTGTTTTTGTAATTGTATATCACAGAACACAGAATATTCAGAAACATTGGGATGGCCAAAAGCAGTCTAACTGAGGAGTGGGCAACACAGAAAACAAGGGCTATCAGCCCCTCAAAAACCAACAAAGTGACTGAGGTGGCTCAGCATAGCTGGCTGAAGAACCTTACACCCAAAGATTGTACACATTCACATCAGCTGGGGCCTGAACATCCACCTAATAAAAACTTAATGGACATGCAAACAGAAGAAAAGTTGTGAGTCTTGCAAATCTTACTAGCAAGAGTCTGATGGTTAAAAGCCTATGAAGCACTAAGCGCACATTAACACCAAGAGGTTGGAGGACGAGAGGGTGGGATGGGGGGAATAGCCGTGATTTTACTGCTCCCTGACTGCCCATCTTAAATAACATGACAGCCAGGTGACATTGCAAAAGTTGGGCAAAAGTAATACCCCTGATTTATTCAAGTGAATAGGGCCACAACGCAAGCAACACAGCAGCACAGTTGCAGCACCATATTCCCATTCAAAAGCCATGCTTGAGGTGTCAAATACAACAGGCATTCTGAAACTTGCAGAAGTGATTACAAAGAGAAGGGTAACCTTGAGAGCAAGATAGATAGAGGAATTTCACTGGTACATTCAAAGCCATGGGTCTTTGAAGAACTAACAGAACCAAGTTAATATCTGGGAGAATCACTGGGGAATATACTGTACACAAGGAACAATGTGAGCGACAGCCTGCATGAAGGCCTTCAGGGTTTAGAGGGAAGCAGTGTCTGAAAAGGACCCTTGATGGTAATGAAAGGCCAAAAGCTGATCCAGACCAGACTGGAGAATAGACAGGATTCATTCAACTGAGAAGTTACTGGGACGAAAAAACCTTGTCTCACCCCAGGAGAAATATGATTTCCATGTGTGATGGTTGACCTTGCAAGAAGTCAATTTCCTATCTTTGAATGTAGGGATGACCAAATCTATTAGGCCTCCAGCGATCATAAATGCAGGGTGATAAACCAGCCCCTGGGAAAGAAGATTTGGATGATCCTTCCAAGGGACGAAATCTGAGTACCATGTCCTCCTGGGCCAGTTTGGTCCAAAAAAGGATCACCGGGATGAGTCCCATCTCGATCCCATGGAGTAGGTGAGGAAGGAGCTTTACGGGAGAAATATATAGTTCATGTTCAACTGATCTTATAGGGTTACTGGAACATCCACTGAAAAGGTTAGAGGAACCCTGGATCTCAAGGCAACCCTACTCAGTTTACCTGGGGGGACCAAAAGGTCCATGTCCTGCATCATCCACCTGCAACAAAGGTTTTTAAATGCCTTTTGGTGAAAGGACTGTTTTACGGAGTCCAGGCATTAATGACTAAGGAAGCCCCCTGGCAGTTTTCCATGCAGAGCAGTTGCAGCTTTAATGTGAAGTTCTGCCAAAGTCAGAATCAGATCTGCTTCTCTTTGAGCTGCAAGACTTCAGGTGTCTCTCTGATGGTTGATGTATGCACTACTGTGGCATTGTCCAACTGAATGCTGAACAGATGACCTTCCAGACGAAAGGTAGAGTTGAAGGGACAACTGAATCGACATGAGTTCTGGAATAATGACTGGAAGCCAAGCTTCCTCTGATGACCATGTCTCTTGTACAATATCTAGTACTAAGATGGCTCCTCAGCCTGATAGACTGGCATCTTCAATGAACAAAACCAAGGAGATAGTGATTTCCATTATACCAGCACTGAACCTGTTAATCACCATGCCAGGGCAAGCCCAGTCCTGCTGGTCAGGCTTATATGGATGATCCAGAGACTGTACCCTCTTGTCCCACACTGCCAGAATGTTGAGTTGCAACAGTATAGCATGAAATTGGGCATATGGAGCCACCCTGAAGGAGGACACCTTCAGGATCTAAACCCTCATCCAAAAACAGAGGATGAGATTTCTGCAAAGACCGAACATGGGAGACAGTTCTAGCACTGACTTCTGGAGATTTAGAATCTACCTGAATTTCTCTAGTGTCTGCAGGATCCATTGGACATTGGCAGATAGAGCCTAAGCTAACTGTTCCTTCAGAGGAATGTCTTCCAGAGATCCCACTATGGGGGATGCCAGGAGAGCAAAGCAAAGCAAAGCAAACACAGTTAGCAGCTTAGTGAAGACCCAAGATGCAGTTTCAACATTCCTACTCCCAATCTTCCTGTCATAGCTCCCACACTGTGTCCAAAGTAGCAGCCCCCTCCACACCATCTGGAGCAGCTTTAAGTGCACAACTTCTTCCATTTACAACAATCCAGCCCTATCATTTCTGTATATGTTCACACTGTTCTCCACCCTAAACCCTCTCCACAATACTTCCTGCTGCATTCAATGAGGTCTATTTTCAACTCCCACATATTTTGGCAGTAGCTTAACCTGAGGTACTATGGCTGTTGTTTTGTCACCACTTTTGTGTTCTTGTGTTTCTCTGGCATCCTGTGGTATCCGTTTTCTACAACATTGACCTTTCTACTTTATTTTATCTCAAAACACTGTCCTAATTCTGATTCACAAGCAAATCCCATTTTTTCCTCTTCTCTTTTTCCTTCAGCTTTGATCAGCTCCTGTTCTGCCTTCTCTCTTCTTCCTTCCAAATCCTGTGATCAGCTTCAAGTCTGCATTGCCTCCTGAAGATCTATGGTGAATTTCGCATGCTCCTCCACTCCCTGCTATGATCAACAGCTCTGCCTCCTCTATACCCTCCAAATCACAATCATTTGCCATTGTTCCTCCTTTAACTACAGTTCTCCCAATGATCAGTTGCCATTCTGCTTCTTCCCACCACTGACCACTTTTAGCTCCTGCTCTGCCTTTTCTCTCATTGATCAACCACCAACATACTGTATATCCAGTTAGCAGAAACTGGTTTCTCGGCAATCAGCCTCCACTCTATTCATCCACATAATCAGTTCATGGGAGATGGTACAACTGACTAAATATATATCGCTAGCAAAAATATTGCCTGAGTGGACATGCAGTGTACACCAATAGTCTACGAATCAACTAGAGGCAAAAGCTCTTAAGACTAAATTAACTTGTTCTGTAAAGTAAAATTAAAAGTAAAAACAACCCAGTAGAATCTGGAGGCTAAATGACCAAAGACACAGAGAAATGAAGACGAAATCTTGGCTACCTGTTTCTCCAACCCGCAAGATGTCACACAGGACAAGAGTCAGGTGAATGCTGCTCCGAGCGAAGGGGCACACATGTTTATCCTCCCGGCTGCTGTTTTCAAGTACAAACTGCAGACAGAACAGAAGTCTATGTTAGATGTTCTGCATGCTGTTTTACTGGTGGCACTCATCTTATATGGCCAATCACTCACTCTACTGTAAGCGCTGGGCCAGCGTGTTGAGAAATACATCATATTTTCAAGAGCCAATAGTCCCGGTGGTGTGAGAGCAAGGTCCTGCCATGGGCTGCCATTGTTCTAAAGAAGATTCAAGAAAGCTAAAATGAATTCAGATCGTTATAACATCTAAGAAATGAATCAACATATCAACCTATCTGTGTCAAATCACAAAAAAGTACCTGTTCTGGGTGGATCCTGGTTCTGTGAGCTGACTTCTCAAAGGAAATCCATAATTGCTGTAGGTCAGTATTAGAGATGAGCGAATCGAACCAGGCGAACCAGAATTCGATACGAATTTCAGGAAAAATTCGATTCGCGTCGAATCCGAATATTTGCCTACTTCGGGTGCGCGAATCGGATTTTTTCCCGATCAGTCCCGGCAAAAGTGTCCCTGCAGAGAGCTCCGCTATTTCTGACATTTCTCTGACAGTTCCTTCACATGTACAGCAGTTGAAACATTGTATCTATTAGTTTCCATTTAGGATACAGATGTTTCAAACCGCTGTACATGTGAAGAAGCTGTCAGAGAACTGTCAGAAATAGAGGAACTCTGCAGATACACTTTTTGCCGGTTTGGAATTCTTATTTTCATCCTACTTCTTCTTCCTTCTTCTTCTTCTTCATCCTCATCCTCATCCTCAGAAGAAGAAGAAGAGGATGAGGATCAGGAAGAAGAAGAAGAAGAAGAAGAAGAAGTAGGATGAAAATAAGAAGAATTCCAACCGGCAAAAAGTGTATCTGCAGAGCTCCTCTATTCTGCAGATACACTTAGAGGAGCTCTGCAGATACACTTTTTGCCGGCTTGGAATTAATCTTATTTTCATCCTACTTCTTCTTCTTCATCCTCATCCTCAGAAGAAGAAGAAGAGGATGAGGATGAAGAAGAAGAAGAAGAAGAAGAAGTAGGATGAAAATAAGAATAATTCCAAGCCGGCAAAAAGTGTATCTGCAGAGCTCCTACACTTAGAGGAGCTCTGCAGATACACTTTTTGCGGCTTGGAATTAATCTTATTTTCATCCTACTTCTTCTTCTTCTTCTTCATCCTCATCCTCAGAAGAAGAAGAAGAGGATGAGGATGAAGAAGAAGAAGAAGAAGAAGTAGGATGAAAATAAGAATAATTCCAAGCCGGCAAAAAGTGTATCTGCAGAGCTCCTCTAAGTGTATCTGCAGAGCTCCGCTATTTCTGACAGTTCTGTGACATTCACTCCATACAGCGGTTGAAACATTGTATCTATTTGTTTCCATAAATGGATCCATTTATGGAAACAAATAGATACAATGTTTCAACCGCTGTATGGAGTGAATGTCCCAGAACTGTCAGAAATAGGCTATTTCTGACAGTTCTGTGACATTCAGGACAATACAGTGGTTGAAACCGCTGTATGGAGTGAATGTCCCAGAACTGTCAGAAATAGGCTATTTCTGACAGTTCTGTGACATTCACTCCATACAGCGGTTGAAACATTGTATCTATTTGTTTCCATAAATGGATCCATTTATGGAAACAAATAGATACAATGTTTCAACCGCTGTATGGAGTGAATGTCCCAGAACTGTCAGAAATAGCCTATTTCTGACAGTTCTGTGACATTCACTCCATACAGCGTTGAAACCGCTGTATGGAGTGAATGTCACAGAACTGTCAGAAATAGACAGAAACTGTCCACAGAACTGTCCTTCTTCACATCCTTCTCCTTCTTCTCATCCTTCTTCTCATCCTTCTCCTTCTTCTCATCCTTCTCCTTCTCCTTCTTCTCATCCTTCTCCTTCTTCTCATCCTTCTTCTTCTCATCCTTCTCCTTCTTCTCATCCTTCTTCTCATCCTTCTCCTTCTCCTTCTTCTCATCCTTCTCCTTCTTCTCATCCTTCTCCTTCTCCTTCTTCTCATCCTTCTCCTTCTCCTTCTTCTCATCCTTCTCCTTCTTCTCATCCTTCTTCTCATCCTTCTCCTTCTTCTCATCCTTCTCCTTCTCCTTCTTCTCATCCTTCTCCTTCTTCTCATCCTTCTTCTCATCCTTCTCCTTCTTCTCATCCTTCTTCTCATCCTTCTTCTCATCCTTCTCCTTCTTCTCATCCTTCTCCTTCTCCTTCTTCTCATCCATCTCCTTCTTCTCATCCTTCTCCTTCTTCTCATCCTTCTCCTTCTCCTTCTTCTCATCCTTCTCCTTCTCCTTCTTCTCATCCTTCTCCTTCTCCATCTTCTCATCCTTCTCCTTCTCCTTCTTCTCATCCTTCTCCTTCTTCTCATCCTTCTCCTTCTTCTCATCCTTCTCCTTCTCCTTCTTCTCATCCTTCTCCTTCTTCTCATCCTTCACCTTCTCCTTCTTCTCATCCTTCTCCTTCTCCTTCCTCATCTCCAAGGGCATTTAAATTAAAGGTACAGTGTTCTGCACTAATTTAAAGGCTCTCTGAAGCCTAGAAACCCTTTTTATAAGTTAACTTCGTAGCGAATTAATTCGCATCGAATCTCTTCCTGAAATTCGGCGAATCAGCCGAATCGAATTTTTGAATAATTCGCTCATCTCTAATTATGATTGTGAAATCTTTGTTTTACAAAAAATACATGATTAAGGATTCCCTGAAAACTATGGGTCATCTAAGCATCAGCTTGATTTACAGCTCTATTTGTTCATAGAAACCAGCTATCTGATAAGAGTGACATCTGAAGGGGGTTATATATAATAGTATTCTTTTTATAAGACTACATTAAGATGCAATGTTTCCTATTTATGTAAAAAAAAGAAAAAGACATATAAATGTGCCCTTGAGAACCCTTCACCCTATGCTAGGCATCCACTGGTAGACACACCTGGCATATAAATGTACACCTGGACCCCCCACCCTAAGTTAGGCTTCCTCCAGTACAAGTTTGTCATAAAAATATATACATGACACCAGGGACGGACTGACAACTCATGGGGCCCCCGGGCAATAGGGGATCATGGGGCCCCTGTGTCCTTGCCCAAACTCTAAAAAGCTTATGAAAAAGGTACCAGGGGCATCTCATGGGGCCCCCTACTGACCCCGGGCCCTCGGGCAGTGCCCAAAATTCCAAATGGTCAGTCCGCCCCTGCATGAGACCACATCGACTCTATGCTAGATGTCCTGGGTATAGGGGAACATGTGATAAGTTCTGTGCCTTCTCACAATGCACACTTGGACATACTAAAGTGAGGTGACACCAACCAACCTAATCATTGTCAGTAATTGTTGGTGATGGTTACTAACTTACTATAAAGCCAAGCTTGCGGAATTCCTTGGCACAAAGTGAACGTCGTCTGTCCGTGGACATGTGACCTTCTTCATCCCCCTCATTTGGAAAAGCTACAATTCGAAGGTTCTGGAGTTGTTGACGCTGCTCCTGCAGGTGAGAAAATAAGAAGTTTCAACAGACACTAATTAACTGGAGGGACTGGAAAATACTTGCTCCCTGACAACCGGCCTCTATGGTGCATTGGATTGTGGTATACCAAGATCAGGACATGATGAATATAATTTGGAAGAGAGCTGGGAACTGTGGAAACACAGCATAGAACCACTAAATAGGATGTGGGAACGTCTGGAAGACAACTAAAAAAAGAGGGAAGACGACTGAGAACTGTAGGACAGCTAGAAACTGCTAAATAAGAGGTGCGAACTGCAAGACAACAGGTGGGAACTACTGGAAGACAGATGGGAACTGCATGAAGGTGACTGGGAATTGCATAAAGATAGCTGGGATTACTGGAAGATGGATAGATCCACTCAAAGATAGCTGGGACTATGGGGAGACATTGGCAACTACTAGAAGACAAATAGATCCGCTGGAAGAAAGCTGAGGATGCTGAGGGAGTGAGTGAAGGAAGCTGGGAAATAAAAAAAGAAAGCTGAAAATCGCTCGGATCTATGGAAAGGTAGATGGATTTGCTGCAAGAGAGCTGGGACTTCTAGAGGGCAGCTAGCTGCTGATGGAAGACAACTGGAAATTTCAAGAAGGTACATAGATTTGCTGAGACTGCTTAAAGACAGCTAGGAAAAGCAGGAATAGAGCTGGAAACTGCTTCAAGACACCTAAAAAATGCAGGAAGACAGCTGAGAAATGCTGAATAAGAGCACAGAACTGCTGGAGGACAGCTAAGAGATTACTGGGAGATAGCTGGATCAATTGGAAGAGAGCTGGGACTGCTGGGGGAGGGAGACAGATTACCACAACTGGAAAACAGATAGATCCACTGGAAGAAAGCTGGGATTGCCTGGGGAGTGAAAGAACTATTGGAAGAGAGCTGGGAATTGATAAAAGAAAGCTAAGCAGTGCTGAAAAAGAGCCAAGAAACTTCTGGAAGGTAGAAGGATTTGCTGCAAGAGTGCTGATACTGCTGGAAGACAACTGGGAACTGATGAAAGACAACTGGAATCTTCAAGAAGGTACATGGATTTGCTGAAAGAGAGCTGAGAACTGTGGGAAGACAGCTAGAAACTTCTGGAAGAAAGCTGGGAGCTGTTTAATACATCTGGGAACTTCTGGAAGATAGATGGATGTACTGGAAGTGAGCTGAGACTGCTGGAAGACAGTTAACAACTGATGGAAGACAACTGCTTATGTTTCTCTTAGATAGCTACAGTGGGGATCGAAAAAGTTTGGGCACCCCAGCTAAAAATTTGTATTAATGTGCATAAAGAAGCCAAGGAAAGATGGAAAAATCTCCAAAAGGCATCAAATTACAGATTAGACATTCTTATAATATGTCAACAAAAGTTAGATTTTATTTCCATCATTTACACTTTCAAAATAACAGAAAACAAAAAAATGGCGTCTGCAAAAGTTTGGGCACCCTGCAGAATTTATAGCATGCACTGCCCCCTTTGCCAAGCTGAGACCTGCCAGTGTCATGGATTGTTCTCAATCATCATCTGGGAAGACCAGGTGATGTCAATCTCAAAGGTTTTAAATGCCCAGACTCATCTGACCTTGCCCCAACAATCAGCACCATGGGGTTCTTCTAAGCAGTTGTCTAGAAAACTGAAACTGAAAATAGTTGACGCTCACAAAGCTGGAGAAGGCTATAAGAAGATAGCAAAGCGTTTTCAGATGTCAATATCCTCTGTTCGGAATGTAATTAAGAAATGGCAGTCATCAGGAACAGTGGAAGTTAAAGCAAGATCTGGAAGACCAAGAAAAATATCAGACAGAACAGCTCGCAGGATTGTGAGAAAAACAATTCAAAACCCACGTTTGACTGCACGATCCCTCCAGAAAGATCTGGCAGACGCTGGAGTTGTGGTACACTATTCCACTATAAAGAGATACTTGTACAAATATGGTCTTCATGGAAGAGTCATCAGAAGAAAACCTCTTCTACGTCCTCACCACAAAAATCATCGTTTGAACTTTGCAAATGAACATATAGACAAGCCTGATGCATTTTGGAAACAAGTTCTGTGGACCGATGAGGTTAAAATTGAACTTTTTGGCCGGAATGAGCAAAGGTACGTTTGGAGAAGAAGGGGCACAGAATTTAATGAAAAGAACCTCTGTCCAACTGTTAAGCATGGGGTTGGATCAATCATGCTTTGGGGTTGTGTTGCAGCCAGTGGCACAGGGAACATCTCACGAGTAGAAGGAAAAATGGATTCAATAAAATTTCAGCAAATTTTGGACGGTAACTTGATGCCATCTGTGAAAAAGCTGAAGGTAAAGAGAGGATGGCTTCTACAAATGGATAATGATCCTAAACACACCTCGACATCCACGGGGATTACATCAAGAGGCGTAAACTGAAGGTTTTGCCATGGCCTTCACAATCTCCTGACCTCAACATAATTGAAAATCTATGGATAGACCTTAAAAGAGCAGTGCGTGACAGACAGCCCAGAATTCTCAAAGAACTGGAAGACTTTTGTAAGGAAGAATGGGGAAAGATACCTCAAACAAGAATTGAAAGACTCTTGGCTGGCTACAAAAAGCGTTTACAAGCTGTGATACTTGCCAAAGGGGGCAGTACAAGATATTAACTCTGCAGGGGTGCCCAAACTTTTGCAGACGCAATTTTTTTGTTTTCTGTTATTTTGAAAGTGTAAAATGATGGAAATAAAATCTAACTTTTGTTGACATATTATAAGAATGTCTAATCTGTAATTTGATGCCTTTTGGAGATTTTTCCATCTTTCCTTGGCTTCTTTATGCACATTAATACAAATTTTTAGCTGGGGTGCCCAAACTTTCGATCCCCACTGTATATTAGGATTATATGGGTCATTTGAGAAATCAAAGAAAGTACACAAGTACATCATCTCAGGGCCCCCAACCTCTGGGTTCATTCTATTCCTTGCAGGTTTCTTACAGCATTATTGGGGTCCATTGGGGTCTTCATCCAATCTTCTAACAGGCCTAGGCTTAGACATTGCAAGACATACAGGTAATGGCTCATTTCATCTCCCAGGACAGGCCAGCCATGAATAATGTGCTGCAGAGAGGGAAAATTACAGATTACTGAACTGTTTTGGGATTCTGTACAAGAAGAATCATCATAACACTCACCTTATGGATGAACTGCCTCATATTCTTTTTCCACAGAATTTCCAGCATATCCTGGAAGAGGGGACAGTCCTGTCACCTGTAATACGCAGCTAGTGAACAGCAGCTGACATTTCTACTGTCTGTAATTACCACACACAGATATAAGGGGAAGACTTCACACACATTTTATCCAGGCTGCCCAGACACTTACCATCATCCATGTGCTCTCGTATCGCCCACTCTCTATTCCCAAATACTCAGCCATCATCCATGTGCTCTCGTATCGCCCACTCTCTATTCCCAAATACTCAGCCATCATCCATGTGCTCTCTTATCGCCCACTCTCTATTCCCAAATACTCAGCCATCATCCATGTGCTCTCGTATCGCCCACTCTCTATTCCCAAATACTCAGCCATCATCCATGTGCTCTCTTATCGCCCACTCTCTATTCCCAAATACTCAGCCATCATCCATGTGCTCTCGTATCGCCCACTCTCTATTCCCAAATACTCAGCCATCATCCATGTGCTCTCTTATCGTCCACTCTCTATTCCCAAATACTCAGCCATCATCCATGTGCTCTCGTATCACCCACTCTCTATTCCCAAATACTCAGCCATCATCCATGTGCTCTCTTATTGCCCACTCTCTATTCCCAAATACTCAGCCATCATCCATGTGCTCTCTTATTGCCCACTCTCTATTCCCAAATACTCAGCCATCATACATTCACTCTCGTATCACCCACTCTCTATTCCCAAATACTCAGCCATCATCCATGTGCTCTCTTATCGCCCACTCTCTATTCCCAAATACTCAGCCATCATCCATGTGCTCTCTTATCGCCCACTCTCTATTCCTCAACACTCAGCCATCATCCATGTGCCTCTTATAGCCCACTCTCTATTCCCAAATACTCAGCCATCATCCATGTGCTCTCTTATCGCCCACTCTCTATTCCCAAATACTCAGCCATCATACATGTGCTCTCGTATCGCCCACTCTCTATTCCCAAATACTCAGCCATCATCCATGTGCTCTCTTATTGCCCACTCTCTATTCCCAAATACTCAGCCATCATCCATGTGCTCTCTTATCGCCCACTCTCTATTCCCAAATACTCAGCCATCATCCATGTGCTCTCGTATCGCCCACTCTCTATTCCCAAATACTCAGCCATCAACCATGTGCTCTCCTATCGCCCACTCTCTATTCCCAAGTACTCAGCCATCATCCATGTGCTCTATTATTGCCCACTCTCTATTCCCAAATACTCAGCCATCATCCATGTGCTCTCGTATCGCCCACTCTCTATTCCCAAGTACTCAGCCATCATCCATGTGCTCTATTATCGCCCACTCTCTATTCCCAAATACTCAGCCATCATCCCATGTGCTCTCGTATCGCCCACTCTCTATTCCCAAGTACTCAGCCATCATCCATGTGCTCTCTTATCGCCCATTCTCTATTCCCAAATACTCAGCCATCATACATGTGCTCTCTTATCGCCCACTCTCTATTCCCAAATACTCAGCCATCATACATGTGCTCTCGTATCGCCCACTCTCTATTCCCAAATACTCAGCCATCATCCATGTGCTCTCGTATCGCCCACTCTATTCACCAACACTCAGCCATCATCCATGTGCTCTCTTACTGCTCACTCTCTATTATCAGACACTTAACCATCATCTATGCACTCTTTTACTGTTCACTCTCTATTTCCCAGACACCTAACCATCATTCATGTGCTCTCTTACCATTCACTCTCTATTACCAGACATTCAGCCATCATCTATGATGTAATCTATTACCACTCACTCTCAATTCCCAGATATTCAGCCATTGCTCATGGGTGCTCTTACCGCTCTCTCCCTATTTACAGATTTCTGGAGCAGAGCCACAAGAAGAGCCATCACCTTAATTTGCAGAGGCTGATTAGGCCTGCAAGAAATAGACAATTAGTGATCTAACTCAAACCGCATCACAAATGTACCCAAACCAAACAGTAACAATACCATACTACAGGCTGAAGGTGGAAGCTCATAATTATGGAGTTCTCTGGGAGAAGGTTAAACAACAGTAATTAGAGAATATTTAATTGCTTTCATTTGTTCAATACCCCAATACTTAACCTATACATCACAACACTGACCACCTAAAGTCTATATCCCAGTGCTTAACCTATACACTGCAATGCCAACCCATAACTTCTATACCCCAATACCTAACCTATATACTACAACCCTGATCACCGAACCTCTATACCTCAATACTTAACCTATACACCACAACACCAACCACTTTAGTTCTATATCTCAATACTTAACCTATAGCATGTAACACCGACCACCTAACCTCTATACCCCAATACTTAACCAGGGGCAGACTGACAACTCATGGGGCCCCTGGGCAATAGGGAAGCATGGGGCCCCTGTGTCCTTGCTCAAACTCAAAAAAGCCTATGAAAAAGGTACCAGGGGCATCTCATGGGGCCCCCTACTGACCCCAGGCCCTTGGGCAGTGCCCGAGTTTCCAAATGGTCAGTCCGCCCCTGTACTTAACCTATACACCACAACACTGACCACCTAACCTCTAGCCTTTTCCATTAAGGCAAGCAGGCCCACAGGCTACTGCAACACTGACCACCTATCCTCAAGCTACTATGAAGGGCAATCATATGAACCACTGATGTATTTATACATGGAGATCATATTCCCCCTTATGTATTATACATGGAGATCATATCCCCCCTTATGTATTATACATGGAGATCATATCCCCCCTTATGTATTATACATGGAGATCATATCCCCCCTTATGTATTATACATGGAGATCATATCCCCCCTTATGTATTATACATGGAGATCATATCCCCCCTTATGTATTATACATGGAGATCATATCCCCCCTTATGTATTATACATGGAGATCATATCCCCCCTTATGCATTATACATGGTATCATATCCCCCCTTATGTATTATACATGGAGATCATATCCCCCCTTATGTATTATACATGGTGATCATATCCCAGCTTAAGCTCCTCCATGCCTCTTATCAGTTTGGTTGCCCTTCTCTGTACTTTCTCCAGTTCCCCAATGTTCTTCTTGTGAATTGGTGCCCAAAACTGAACTGCATATTCCAGATGAGGTATTACTAATGATTTGTACCGGGGGGAATATGATTCTCTCTCTGGAGTCTATATATCTCCTAATACAAGAGAGGATTTTGCTCGCTTTAGAGAGCGCAGCTTGGCATTGCATGCCATTATTAAGCTTGTGATCTACCAGAACTCCCAGATCCTTCTCCACCATTGATTCCCCCAGTTGTACTCCCTAGTTCTTCATATAACTTTCACTTTCTGGCTCTTTGATGCAGATAAATGTCATTGTTGTATTACTATTAATACAGAATTATGATACAACGAACGTATTATGTTCCTGGAACAGAACTATTGTGTTCCTACAATACTTTATTCCTGCTATAGTTCTGCTCTATCATTCCATGCAGTATGATCATGTTCAATATACCCAATATCATGCACAGTTCAGTCTGACTTACAGCTGCAGTAAAGTAAGAAGTCGCTCCAGAGGAACTTCTTGTTTGACCATCACTGCAAGCTTGGTGTTACTTTGCAGCACATTCTCCAGGATGACCAGCGCCAGCTGTGTGATCTCCACCAGCATCAGATTCATATTCACAAATGTCACCACCTGGACACAAAGAAGCAAACGTCAGCTGAGAGCAAAGTCTGGTTATGTATGAAGTGTAGTGCACAGCTAATAAATGTCATGTAGATTATATGCCTGTCCAGGTAAATGGCTGATACAGGGTGGACTGACCATTTGGAAACTCGGGCAGTGCCCGAGGGCCCGGGGTCAGTAGGGGGCCCCATGAGATGCCCCTGGTACCTTTTTCATAGGCTTTTTTGAGTTTGGGCAAGGACACAGGGGCCCCATGATCCCCTATTGCCCGGGGGCCCCATGAGTTGTCAGTCCGCCCCTGGCCTGATATCAAATAGAATTGATGTGTTTTCAGAACTGAAGTTACTTCTACCCCCACCAATCAACATTAGACTGGCCAATAAAATATTAATCTGATTGGTGGCTATGGGAAAATCAGGTCATAGTAGGAACACATTTGTTTTTTTTTTTTGCCTTCCTCTGGATCAACTGTGGGTGTAGGATTATAACTTTTTTTTTAATGGTTGAACTGGATGGACTTTTGTCTTTTTTTCAGCCAAACTATGTAACTATATAACATTGATTCGCAAGTCCCATAGCTTGTAGATCACATCACTTTTTACCAGCACCATGGAAGGTCACAAATCAAAGATGCTCATGATTTGGATCCCTGTAAGCTGCTCCAGGACAATTTTAGCCCAGCCCACCATCTTGGTGTGTTGCATTTGAGATATAGTATATATCTGTTTCCTGATATATTTTTTTCTCAGACTTACATAGAAGAATATGTTTGCTTGCTTGCCTTAGATCAGTGGTTCTCAACCTTCCTAATTCCGTGACCCTTTAATACAGTTCCTCATGTTGTGGTGACCCCCAACCATAAAATTATTTACCCAGTAATTATATATTCATGAAGTGTCATTTTACCTCCAATACTGCTGCTTTCAACGCAGTAGCTGCTTTCTACACAGTAGCTGCTTTCTACACAGTAGCTGCTCTTTACACATCGGAAATATGTGTTTTCCCAGATGGTCTTAGGCGACCCCTGTGAAAGGGTCGTTCGACCCCCAAAGGGGTCACGACCCACAGGTTGAGAACCACTGCCTTAGATGGAAGAACATGTGATCTGAAGACCAGGTGGCAGCCTTCAGCAGAACAGATGATTCACGTGACCTAAATTTACAAGTTCTGACAACATGGTATACATGAAGGTTTTTAATAAATGTACCCAGAGGAAGGGGGTCCAATTATTTCTATATGTTTGCCTATTACTGCTTTTATGCTGAGCTTTTTTTTTTTTACTGGGAAACTCTTTTGATTTCTGGTAAATTTTATATTTTAAAGTTTTTATATAATTATATTGTGTCATCATTCTTTCTATTTGTATACAAATCTTATTTTTTTTAATAACTATTTAACATAGAATGGTTCCATTCAATGTGTATGCAATGTTTGCCATTTTTTCTTATAAGAGAGCCCAACATTAACTCCAACAGTACTTACTAGTACAGGAGGAGAAGAGATTGTGAGGCGGCTTCTCCTCTGAGTCATTTCGCTGTGTGTACCCTATGACCCCTCTGTTCAGGGCTGTCCACAGCACAGCAGTAAAAGATATCTGAACCCTAAAGTACCAGGTTGGCTCTTGTCATATGCTGGCTGCAAAGGGCAAAATGTGAAAAGTATATTTAGTTCCTCATATTTAAATTATTCCCAGTTGTTGGTGCGCACCTTGTGAATGAAACTTGTACTAAATGTTTCCCAAGACACAAAGCCGTGTTCCATCAGCTCAGCAATGGCTCTCAGAGTGTGGCACATCACCTCCCCTGGCCTGTAAAGAGAAGAAGAAGATGATGTTTTAGACAGGAGACATTTCACTACCATGGGCTTCCCACTACACATTTTTATTTAATTTAAATCATATGTCTTTACGTTTATAAATTGTAGATTTCCACCAGCTTTCAGTATTTTCAAAAGACATATAGCCAGTTATTTACTCAGAAGCTGCTTTTAAAATGTAATTTCTATTTTCGCTTACCATAAAACCAGGTGCACAGGGAGTCTGCATATAGAAAATGTGTATCATTAGAGCTGAAGATCCCCATAGCAAACACGAAAAAGGGGTAATTTGTATCTACCCTAATATCAAATTCCCGAAGAGTTGCATTGGGTGACCATAGAAAGCAGCCACTCCTTTGAGGGCTCTTCCCTTTTCTCTTATCTAAATTTCATCCATATATAGGACAGCAGTATGAAGGACCACAAAAAGGAGAGAAAGCAGAAAAGACACATCTGCCATCATTATTGGTAAAACATAACAACCAGGGTGAAGTCTATGTTCCAAGGGTGGAGTCAATGTTCCCAGGGGAAGTCTTTGTTCCCAGGGTGGAGTCAATGTTCCGAGGTTGGTGTCAATGTTCCCAGGGGGAGTCCTATGTTCCCAGGGGGGAGCTCCAGTTTGTTCCCAGGGGGGAGTCTATGTTCCCAGGGTGGAGTCAATTCCCAGGAGGAAGTCTTTATGCCCAAGGTGGAGTCTGTGTGGAGTCTGTGTTCCCAGGGGGAATTCCTTGTTCCCTAGGGTGAAATCAATGCTCCCAGGTTGGTGTCAATGTTCCCAGGGGGAGTCTATGTTCCCAGGGTGGAGTCAATGTTCCCAGGAGGAAGTCTTTGTGCCCAAGGTAGAGTCTGTGTTCCGAGGGTGGAGTCTATGTTCCCAGGGGGAAGTCTCTGTTCCCAGGTTGGTGTCAATGTTCCTAGGGGGGAGTCTATGTTCTCAGAGTGGAGTCTTTGTTCCCAGGGTGAAGTCTATGTTCCCGGGGTGGAGTCTATGTTCACCAGGTGGTGTCAATGTCCCCAAGGGGGAGTCTATGTTCTCAGGGTGGAGTCTTTGTTCCCAGGGTGGAGGCTACGTTCCCATCAAGCTCAGGAATTATTTTACAGCAAGCAAAACTGAATTCAACCTTTCATTGTCACTCCCGGGCAAGGAGGTAAAAAACAAAGTCAACAAAAAAGACACAATGGAAAGAAAAACTCACAGGAACGTGAACCAATATGAAGGGCTAAAATCAATTTCTACAAATCTATGTGATTGGGTAACATCTGGCAATATGCCTGAAATGGATAATGACCCTCAACAAAATGCTAAAAAATTGTTCAGCAGGTGAAAGCGGCCTTGAAGCGCCAGTAGGACAACATTTTGATTCTCAAGTACAGGAGTCCTGTAATGCGAAGCTACGTGGACAATTTCTTGTAAAAATGTGCACACTAAAGTTTCAATCCAGTGGGAGTTAAAAGATGCAATGCTTTCAAGGGCACTCATCTCATGCTACTTGACTTGCATCAACCACATATAATGATATGCATTTCAGGAAAGTTTCTGGCATGTAATTTCATGGCTATTCAAGAAAAGCTCTTGACCTTCAGTAGCTAAGCGTCAAAGCTATGCTAAATAAATGTAAGAAAAGGACCCTGTGAGAGGGGTACTTGGTAAGCAGGTTGCCTAAGTGGAATGTCAGAAGATTGACAATAGGTTGTAACAGTAAGAAGCTACTGATATAATTGCTGCTGTCCTCATCTTGTTTTTTTTTAGCACTTGTGGCAAGACACCACAACACCAGAAACATGTACAGAATATTGTACTGCCTCCATAGAATAACCAGAATGTCCACCGTATTCAAAAGTGCCCTAGTCCAACATTAAAGGCACCTTTCCACTTTGGAAGGTAGCCACCATATCCATAATATTTAAACTGGTAAGAGATATTGAGAAATATATCCAGAAATTGAGTTAATCAATTGCCTGCTGGCTCAGATAGTTGACAATAAAACTGGTCACACACTAGGAAGTGTAGTGCAGAGAGCTGGTACACAGAGTTCTGAGTAATCTGAAATGTCCCTCAAGTTCATATAGTACAGTCCTATTTTAGTCAACCATGGTGAACATTTTATTGACCTACAGCCAATCCAACCCTTTTACATAAGGAATAGTCTCAATATTTTTTGATCTTATACTTTCCACCACAGGAAACAAAGAAGGAGTGAAGAACAGCAACTGTGAAATATGTATTAAGCTATAATGGCAATGGAGTTTTTGTTTATTGACCCTTACTCTTTTTGCTCTTCCACCATCCTGGCCAGAATACAGAGTCCATCACGGCTGATGAATTCCTGAGCAAATGTAACATCACCAGACAAATCAGCCAGTTTCTTCAGAGACTCGGATCTCACATCCAGATTGTGACTCTGAACGCCATTACATAGGCTGCTGGCCTCCTTGTCCTTTATATCCCAGGGGAAAAAATGAAGAATGAAAAAACTTCTGGATTATGGCAGGTTTTTTACAGGAACCATCAAACATTTCTGTCACAGCAAAGACACCTATTTTATTTTAGTGTAATAGGTCAAAGACAGCGCCAAATGAAAAAAATCACTGGGAGTCCAAAGCCTTTATTGTCCAGCTGGGTACAACAACCAGGTGAAAAGTCATTCAGCACATTTTGGATGCCACAGAATTTCCCTTCATCAGGGCTAGGGTGAAGAAGGATTTTGTGGCCCTCAAAATGTGCTGGGTTTCTTTTGACCTGCTTGTTGTAACCAGTTGAACAATAAATACTTTGGACTCCTATTGATTTTTCATTTGATGCTCTCTTTGACCTATTACACTTGGATTTCTCAACTTGGGTTACTGTCCTTTTTTTGGGGGGAATCCTCATCTGAGTGGTGAGCTGCCAAAAACAGGCCAACTGGGCCAAGTAATGACTTTGACCATATTTTGATAATCATGAAAATCTGTACCTGTCTACCATTATCTGTTTGACCCCCTTTTTTTAGGCTACCATGAGATATTTTCACAAGCCTTTATATTCGAAAATATTGACAATAAGATCAAATGTCTTTGAGCCCAGTTCCTGTACGAGGATCAACTACAAAAGAGACTTTCTTGGAGTACCATTGTGTAGGACAATACTCTTTTACCATTGTTGCACAATACTCTTTGTCCTGGCCAAGGTTATCAGCTGTTCTGGACATGACTCCAATGTTCATGGATTGGGCCAAGTTTTAGAGTTCCCATATCCCTTTCTACAGTATTTTTAAAAATTTAATAAAAAGCTACTATTGGAACTGAAAAAAGGTTGAGTGGTTGACTCTTTGGATCCAGAGAAAATCTGGATTGTGTGCCAGAGTGATGGGGGAATAATCTCAACCAGCAAAATAGAGTACTGGAGTTAGAAGACTTACTGCCTTTCTCTAACACTCAGCTTGTACACTGGTTTCATGGCGCTATATAAATACTGTATAATAATAATAATAGTAATAAAAATGGCACCCACATCACTTTCATTTTGAGTTAATACATTCAGCTTCGCTACCCTGGAATTAGAATGCGACCCTGGAAACAAAACAGCTGCTTCAATCTGAGGCTTCTCACTCACTTCTCACTTGTTTAGGGATTCTCAGGCAGTCTACCATGCAAAACCTTCACCAGTGACCAATGATCTACAACTGCAGTGATCAACCCAAGATTACTTACCAAAGTTGGTCACATCATGGCACAATTGTCCCCAATTCGGTACACTACATGTGTAGTTTAGCCCTTACGGAAACACCTGACTCCCTTATGGCTTCCATTAGCTGACTTAGGTTTAGGGGTTCAGGGTTAGGGTTACAGTTAGCGTCTGGGTCAGGGTCAGCTTAATCCAAACTTCATAAGGCAACTGGGGAACTTACCGGGGATGTGGTCAGTTTCAGAATGCTGCCATTCTTTATTTCCATTCTGTTCTAGAAAAAAATTAATAAAAATGGATCAATCTAGAACACTGTAGGGTGTCCACCTGATCAGCTTCATTATGTGTTATTGTGTGATATCTAAAGATGGACAGTCAGAGCTTGGTATAAAGGACACAAGGCTCTTCATATGCTAAATCTTACCATGTGACAAGAAAAAGCTGGGATAAGATTTACAAAACATTTCCTCAATATTCTTGTGTTCAAGGATCACCCCCAATCAGAAGTACTCACCAGCTCAGTGATATATGCCTGATGTCCATCCACATACTGCAGGGCATACTGCTCGGAATTACTGATATTCCACCTGAAGACCATACAGACAGTCAATAAGACCTTCTACATCCCATATTATCACTCAACTCTAAGGGTGAAATTCTTCTTTATTTCCTCAGTTTCAGCTAGAATGTTTTATTTTCTATCTGGATGGAAGTTCTCTAAGTCTCCTTGGAGAACATTTTTGGAGATGCTGCCTGTGTGTCCATTGAGGAGACTTCTCATCACTTCCTGTTCTGAAGTATCACTTGATGGGAAATACCACTAATGGGGACACAGATCACAATACAATCCCGACAGAGGATCTAACCCTTCCTCATTCCAGCAAAAAATGTGCCATTTCCACTTATAGAAGTTTTAAAATGTTATTTCTGTCCAAGGACCATTCCATTATAGTAATCAGATGGCAACAAAGAGCTAACATGCCAGGGATTTACTAGCCATCATTCAGTCTATCAGAAGATATTTAATTGTTTGTGAACCAAGAATCATTTTTTTACTGTTTGGCATCATGTCTCACCATCAGGGATGGACTGACAACTCATGGGGCCCCCGGGCAATAGGGGATCATGGGGCCCCTGTGTCCTTACCCATACTCAAATAAGCCTATGAAAAAGGTATCAGAGACATCTCATGGGGCCCCCTACTGACCCCGGGCCCTTGGGCAGTGCCCGAGTTTCCAAATGGTCAGTCCACCCCTGCTCACCATATACACTTCTTTTATGCAAATAGTTTTGCTGGTAATTGTGTATATCACTCGTTCTGGCCGGAAGGGCGTGGCTACAATGTCACACGCACACCGCATCACTTCCACTTGTACAGAAGACGTCAACACTACGTATTGCCCGACGAACAATTTTTTTAGGTTAATGTGGGCCACGATTTTGACTAAAGAACGAACACCTCTCGGTCGTCGGATGACCGATCGTTCGATTTTCTAATCGTGTATTCTCACCTTTAGGCACTGCCCCATTTATAACTCTGCCCCAAATTACATCACCGATCTTGTCTCTAAATATCACCCAAACCGTACTCTCTGCTCCTCGCAAGACCTCCTACTCTCTAGCTCCCTTGTCTCCTCCTCCCATGCTCGTCTCCAGGACTTCTCCAGAGCTTCCTGCATCCTCTGGAACTCTCTACCCCAATTTATCAGACTATCGCCTACTCTGCTCACTTTTAGGCGATCTCTGAAAACCCATCTCTTCAGAGAAGCCTATCCTGCCCTCAGCTAATACTGGAATCTTCTACTCTTCCAACCACTCCATCCCCCACAGTTACTACCTTTTGTACCACCAGCCCCGCCCTCCTAGATTGTAAGCTCCCAGGATCAGGGCCCTCAAATCCCTCTTGTATTGAACTGTATTGTTACTGTATTGTCTCCCGTTATATTGTAAAGCGCTGAGCAAACTGTTGGCGCTATATAAATACTGTATAATAATAATAATACCTTCTGTGCAGGGGCGGACTGACCATTTGAAAACTCGGGCACTGCCCGAGGGCCTGGGGTAAGTAGGGGGTCCCATGAGATGCCCCTGGTAGCTTTTTCATAGGCTTTTTGGAGTTTGGGCAAGGACACAGGGGCCCCATGATCCCCTATTGCCCGGGGGCCCCATGAGTTGTCAGTCCGCCCCTGCTTCTGTGCAATTAGCCGCAGCATTGTCAGCCTGTTGCATGCACTCTTTTAGTTCCCATGGGGTCGCCTGTCAGGTATCAGCATATAAATGTCACCTGTATAAGGATGAGCATGATGGTGAATTACTAATATTTATTCTAAGGATTGCCTTTCTTCACTGGATTGTCTGCAGATCCTCTAATCTGTGTAATGCTTCTTAGAAGAGATTTTCTCCAAAAAATCCCTTATAATAATAACAATATTAATATAAAAATAATATCACATTATCTACAAGGTCCTACAAATGGCTCGTAGCACCTTTGTGACACTTACGCGTCGCACACATCCTTCAGGACTGCAGACAGCGGTTTGCTCTGAAACAGAAAAGCAATGTGTTAGAGTGCCCCCTGTTTGTCACAAACCTACAGGGTGGTGTGTTGAAGCCAGAGGATGAAGATCTCCCCCCAAAACTGTCCTTTTACCCAGTTTATACCTGATTTAGCTCAATCAGCTGGGGGTATGCTCCCATCATCTGAACGGCAATCTTCACAATATTTTTAGGGGGCTCCATGTCACCCAGGTATGTCTACAGGGAAGATATCACAGAGTACATTTCAAAACATTGTATATTGTGATATAATGTATCTGAAGCTCCTGACTTACAGACAGGAAAGAGTTTTTTTTGGTGTGTCCAGCAGAGGCAGAGCAACAAGCTGCCCTGCAATGCTAATTACCTGGCTGCAGGTTTGTCACATCAACAGCACATCACTTCAACAGCAGCCCCAACAACAGATGCCAAGCAGAAATGATTTTATTAAAAACTGCATACAACGATGACCATCAATTAACAAGCGCAACGTCCCGGAACATTTCTATTTATTGTTAGTAGATAAAGAGCCTCATGTAAAATGTAATGGAGATTGATCCCATGGTGCACCTAAAGATGCTGGTGGTGGGTTCCTTTAAATGTTCAGGAGAACCTCAGGACCAGCCAAACATATCCATTATGAAAAATATATTATCCTTCCATAGTGCTCAGGCTTGGGTTCCTCTATCTTCAGCAGTCTCATAGGAGATCTCCAGTCTTTCCAAAAACTCAATCCAAGGTTAACATTGGGGAACAAACTGAACAGACAAATCATAGGAGATTCCTAAAGTGTGTCATTCTCAATATGAGCTCAAAGACTTCTAACCAATTCATGAAAAAGCGGATGCAGGAATTCCCAAAGAAAAGCAATCCCAACACCCAAAAGAGGACCTATCACTATAATAAAAGGATTCAAATCTCAACATCCTGTAAAAGAAGAGCTCTAATTTTATGTAACGGGCTGTAAAGGGTATGTAGTGTACCCTTGGACTCTGCTCTCTGTATGTAGCATACCCTTGAACTCTGCACTCTGCAAGTAGTGTACACTCTTGTAACCCTTGAACTCTGCACTCTGCATGTAGTGTACCCTTGAACTCTGCACTCTGTATGTAGTGTACCCTTGGACTCTGCTCTCTGTATGTAGCCTACCCTTGAACTCTGCACTCTACATATAGCGTACCCTTGAATTCTGCTTTCTGTATGTAGCGTACCCTTGAACTCTGTACACTGTATGTAGCATACCCTTGAACTCTGCACTCTACATGTAGCGTACCCTTGAATTCTGCTTTCTGTATGTAGCGTACCCTTGAACTCTGCACTCTGTATGTAGCCTACCCTTGAACTCTGCACTCTACATGTAGCGTACCCTTGAATTCTGCTTTCTGTATGTAGCGTACCCTTGAAGTCTGCACACTGTATGTAGCATACCCTTGAACTCTGCACTCTACATGTAGCGTACCCTTGAACTCTGCACTCTGCATTTAGCATACCCTTGAACTCTGCACTTTGCATGTAGTGTACCCTTGAACTCTGCACTCTACATGTAGCGTACCCTTGAACTCTGCACTCTACATGTAGCGTACCCTTGAATTCTGCTTTCTGTATGTAGCGTACCCTTGAAGTCTGCACACTGTATGTAGCATACCCTTGAACTCTGCACTCTACATGTAGCGTACCCTTGAACTCTGCACTCTGCATGTAGCATACCCTTGAACTCTGCACTTTTGCATGTAGTGTACCCTTGAACTCTGCACTCTGCATGTAGCATACCCTTGAACTCTGCACTTTGCATGTAGTGTACCCTTGAACTCTGCTCTCTGCATGTAGCATACCCTTGAACTCTGCACTCTGCATGTAGTGTACCCTTGAACTCTGCACTCTGTATGTAGCCTACCCTTGAACTCTGCACTCTGTATGTAGCCTACCCTTGAACTCTGCACTCTGCATGTAGCGTACCCTTGAACTCTTTTCTCTGTATGTAGCCTACCCTTGAACTCTGCACTAATGGCATTAAATGTCCCTTTAATAACCTCCCACTGTTAGCAAAATTTGTCCACACCTTCTACTTGATGCATGGGTGTGCATGGGTGTGGGGAGGGATAGTTGAGTTCATGTACCTATTCTCTGAGAAAAAAAGCCCTGTACAATATACTATACTGACCACTATGTCATACAGGACACGGTATACATGTCACATATCATAATATCACTGAACTCTTTATCATACAGAAAATGGGACAGGCACATATAACATCACATACCATATACTATATTAACCTCTAGGTCATACAGGACATGGGTCGGGTATACACATACAATGGCACATATCATGTACTATAGTGACCACTATGTTGTAAAGGACAAGAGCCATGTATACACATATAATGTCACATATCATATACTGTACTGACCACTATGTCATACAGGACATGGTACAGGTAGACACGTATAATTTCATAAATCATATACTATACTAACCGCTATGTCATACCAGACACGGGAGAGGTAAACACGTATAATTTCTTATATCATATACTATACTGACCACTATGTCATACAGGACACGGGACAGGTATACACGTATAATTTCATATATCATATACTATACTGACCACTATGTCATACCAGACACGGGACAGGTAAACACGTATAATTTCATATATCATGTACTATACTGACCACTATGTCATACAGGACACGGGACAGGTAAACACGTATAATTTCATATATATCATGTACTATACTGACCACTATGTCATACAGGACACGGGACAGGTATACACGTATAATTTCATATATCATATACTATACTGACCACTATGTCATACAGGACACGGGACAGGTAAACACGTATAATTTCATATATCATATACTATACTGACCACTATGTCATACAGGACACGGGACAGGTATACACGTATAATTTCATATATCATATACTATACTGACCACTATGTCATACAGGACACGGGACAGGTAAACACGTATAATTTCATATATCATATACTATACTGACCACTATGCCATGCAGGACATTGGACAGGTATACATGTATAATAGTATTTCTGGAGAATTAGATGGGACTGGCTGGACACGTTCCTCTCTGGATTTATTCTACATTGTCGCAGCTCTTGATAATACCCAATGTACACTGTGTATTCCGATTCTTTACAGCTGAAATGTTTGTGTGAGAACTGTTTCTCCTGCCAAAGGATTTCTAATTCTGTGCAGACAGACTCATGATCCAGGAATGCCTGCCGCACAATATAGTCAGGTGCTTGACCTCCACTATAACATCAGCATAACCTGGTGGAGAATAACCCCGGCCCCACCCAGCCTGAAACTGCAGCCCACCAATGATATCATCACTCTGCTCTCTCCTCCTGTTAGCACATAAACCCTGCGGCAAAGCCTGATTGCCTCCTTGTGCTGCCCCCTCCCCCTGGATTATAGGCTGATAATGAACTTCAGGGACACACACTCATATCTATGAAGAGATATTTTTGATTATATAAGTGCAAGAAATATTCAGTATATTTTATAATGTATCTGTGGAACAGAAGTGATCCTACAGTTATATAATATGCATCTCCGTTAGGGGCCCATGCCTGGGAACACGAGGGGCCCAATGTTCAGGATATGAGATCACGTCCAAGAGACAGAGGACCTTACCGAGGAAAATATTCTGGCTGCTGTAAAACAGCTGGAAAGTGAGCAGGTAACATTTTACACACCTATAGAAGACAAGTACACATAATTACATTTCCCACAAAGTGACCCCACAAACCTCTCCGATCAGGAAACACACAGCGTAGTCACTCCCAGCGTCCCAGAGGAATCGTCCCAGAAGAGTCGTGAAGAATTGGGATTACTGTGCAGGAAAGGTGGAGGAGGAGGTGGAGGCTCACAGACGGGTTGGGGCAAGTCTGCATTCCATTGCTCTAGGTAAGAGTCACGCCTTTCCATTAGGAACCCTGGAGACAGCACACTTCTTCCTGAACTGACAGAGCTTGCAATCTACAGATCCCTCCTACATGGTCTATGTTCTCTGAACCCACATCAAATCTGAAATCAAAATGTCATTAATGCCCCATAGAAGCCTTAGAGGTATTCACAAATTATAAGTTGTTATGATGTGAAAGAGCCTGGCTGCTTCTTCTTTTACAGACTTTGTACCTGCAGCTACAGTGTGGACTTGGGGTGTGTCCCCCCGGCAATTACTGCCTTGTATTGGGGCCAGGTCACCCATATTATTGTGAACTGACACCTCTAGGGGGAAACATACTATGAAGGAATCCAGCCAGCATTGGTCAGTTTTTAATAGGAAAGTAGAAGGAAGGAACACCAAGTACACTATATTGCCAAAAGTATTGGTCGGTCGGCCGGCCTTTACACACACATGAACTTTAATGGCATGTCTTAGCCTGTAGGGTTCAATATAGAGTTGACCCCGCCCTTTGCAGATATAACAGCTTTAACTCTTCTGGGAAGGCCGTCCACAAGGTTTAGGAGGCTGTCTATGGGAATGTTTGACCATTCTTCCCGAAGAGCATTTGTGAGGTCAGGCATTGATGTTGGACGAGAAGGCCTGGCTCAGTCTCCCAAAGGTGTTCTATCAGGTTGAGGTCAGGACTCAAGTTCCTCCACCAAAAAACTGACTCCTCCATGTCTTTATGGACCTCGCTTTGTGCACTGGTATGCAGTCATGTTGGAACAGGAAGGGGCCATCCCCAAACTCTTCCCAAAAAGTTGGGAGCATGAAATTTTCCAAAATGTCTTGGTATGCTGACGCCTTAAGAGTTCCCTTCACTGGAACTAAGGGGCCAAGTCCAACCCCTGAAAAACAACCCCACACCATAATCCCCCCTCCACCAAACTTTACACTTGGCACAATGCAGTCTGGCAAGTACCGGTCTCCTAGCAACTACCAAACTCAGACACATCCATCAGATTACCAGACAGAGAAGTGTGATTGGTCACTCCAGAGAACACGTCTCCACTGCTCTAGAGTCCAGTGGCGGCGTGCTTTACACCACTGCATCCGACGGTTTGCATTGCACTTGGTGATGTAAGGATTGGATGTAGCTGCTCGGCAATGGAAACCCATTCCTTGAAGATCTCTACCAAGGAATCTGAAGGCCACATGAAGTTTGGAGGTCTTTAGCTATTGATTCTGCATACAGTTGGCGACTTCTCCGCACTTC